TGCTTCACATTTGCTTTACACATACATTTTAGGCCACATTCTGCATTTAGTTACAACTGTGTTAATAAGGCAGAATTCCTCTGAATTCAATTGGAAATGTACCTGAGTGCAAAATTTGGCTCATTTTCTCCATCTCTTTCTGGGCAAAATAATTTCTGCTTTACATACCACAGATATAAATTGTGGAAGCACTTTGCTAGGGGCTGAATCCTACCATAAATCTTTTTGAACCAAACTCCCATTGATTTAAGTAAGAAGTGTGCACTGATCAATGGCAAACTATGCCCTGATGTATTTTGAGTAGTCCTGTTTTAGCCATAGTCAATGAAGCTACATACAGCCTTCAATTTTTACCCAGCTCTGACTGACAGCCTTAATCCATGTGTGCAATTCTACTTGAGTTTTGAAATAAATATGGGCTGATTGTGTGGATCGAGGGCAGCATGTTTTCCTTTGAAAGCAAAGACTTTGTAATTATTGGTAGTAAAAGTCTGCAAAACATGTGGCATCTGTACTATACCACACTCTAACAAATCTCTAGCTGTATTGTTAAGTTTGTGTTTGGCAGCCCTCTGGAAAATATATGTTTATATGTAACAAATGGTTTGAATTCCACTCCATTAGCCAATATATCTGTTTTCTCTCTTCTATGAATTCGTATATCACTCAATTACTTTTCAGTAATCTAGTAAATGGAAATCAGATCTGTGACTTTTATTATGGTAAATTTTTGTTCACAGCTTTGGGGCATCTGTACAGTGCCTAGCACTGTGGGGTCCCAATCTGGTTGGCCTCATTTATTATGTAGGACTGATTCTTCACCAATGAGGTCAAGGGGAGTTTTGCCATTGATTTCAATGGAAGCAGGATCAGGGCCTCAGTGTTTGTGCATGCATTTGCCTATATGAAGAGCTTAAATTTTCAAATGAGCTTTGTAATTGCTAATAGATGCAAAGTCCACCAAGACTCCCAGTAAAGCTAAAGGGAGTTGTACCTTCGTAAAGATTTTGGCCAAAGATATTAGTGAACTAAATCATGTTTTCCCCAGTCTGAGGCACTGATTTACAGTTAGAATATTTTATCTGCTTTAAAGGACCTTGTGCAGTTATGAACATTTAGCACTATTCATCTTTAAAGTGAATTGCAAAACTTTTATCCTCACATCTTAAAAAATAAATAAGTGCCATTAGGAAAATAAATAAATACAGATCTGGACACTGACGGAGAGAGATGAGGTGAGTTGCTGACAGCCACAGTGGAAATCATTCAGTATTAGAGTTAAACCTCATAGATCCCTTACTCTCAGTTCTGTGCTTACACCAATAAACTTTCCATTCTCCTCTCTATGCAAATTAAATGATAGTTCATAGTATTTTCTGTTTCATTAGAGAGAGATTCAGAATCTTTCATATTCTTATTGAAACAGATCCATCTTTACCAACTAAACCTTTTAAAAATATACTTTTCTTCCACTTCTGTTTTCACCTGTTCTCAGTATCAATCATGGTGTCCGGCTGGAGGACTCAACCCCACACGTCTCGGAAGCAGCCAAAAAGCACCATGTACATCGGCGGTTCCCAACCATTCCTGGCAACTCTTCTAGTTTCTCAGTCTAAAGTTCTAATCCTGCAGAGATTTATACACATGCTTAATTTTAAACATGAGTAGTCCCACTGCCTTTGTAAGTAAGCCCCTGCAGGATCACAGTCGCAGACCTACCGTTACCAGACAGTGCCCATTTCCTCCCACTCAGCTGCGTGCTCTAATCTTCACTGGCATTTGGGATCCCAGTTTAATATAGTATTTAGTGTACAAGGATGGTGGACAGTGGTAGCACAGAGAGGCGCAAGGTCCATCACAGATTAAGTTTAGAGCTACTATTAGATATCCTCCACAAGAGAGAGATCCTACCCCCTTTCCCCCCCGCTACATTATTATTTGCTATTTTCATGTATTACAGTAAACTTGGTAATAGAGGGCCATGATCATCTCTAGAGTAATTCTACTGAAGTCAATGGAGCAGATGGGTTTGCCTATAAAGTTAAGAAGAAATGCTTCCTCTCCATATCCCTGTCTGTTATCAATGGCTCTGTGAAGTGTTCTCACCTGGCAAGCTATGAACTAAACCATCACACTTGAGATTCCTGGCGCAGTTGGTAGTACTAGGAATCAGAGTTAAGTCTTCCAGATAAATTGGCTTTTCTCACTATCCCTCCCTTAGGATGTTGCCTGGCTATACCATTATGTTACAGTGAACCTGAATGTTTCTGAGGGGGAAAGGGTTGAATAAGGGTTAATGTGATGCATTCTCCTCTTACCAAAATAACGTCATTCTTTCCTCCCGGAAAGTATTTCATTATCTGCTGCTTGGTTGTTTACATGCTAAAGTTCATTTAATGCATCTATATTACATACATCGACATTATGAAATTGAATGAACTCTCAGATCTAAGGATGAAGATACTGATACAGACTTGATGATGTTTTAAGACTACTGGATGTCAATGTTGCACAGATCTATTGACTTAGTGTCACTAACAGCCTCTTTCCCCCATTTTGCTGCTTTTTAACAAAAAATAAAATTCAAACAAACAGAAGTAATGACACATTGTAGAAATTGTCCTGCTGAGTTTGTCATCCAGTGTAAGTTACTGAGTGCTGATAGTAAAGGAAGTTCAACCAGACAGTTTAATCCTCCAATTTCCTGTCTTCTAATCAGGCACTAACTCCTTTGGCTTTAAATTAGAAACATTCCTGACAATATTCAGGACAGGTGATGGAAAAAGAGAACAGAAAATAAAGGAGGACAAATTCATATACATTAAAGAAACAGCAGTTGAATAACAAAAAACCAAGAGACTTTCAAGTAGCTGAAGTATATCTAATGATGCATTGTATGCATGTAAGCAAATTATTATTGCATAAGTTACATGTTGGTAATCGTCTGAAAACACTAACGGGGCAGGCATTTTTAAAAAAATAGTATTTTAAATATATTTCTGCAGCTGCTGAAGAGTTTACAACTACATAGAAATTACTTTACAAAACTGTGTAAGGAAAATCTTTAATACAATATTATTTTGTTTCCATTTTGTTATTTTCATAATGGCATGCCAAGGATAAGTATTAATATATGTAAATCTTTTGCTATTTAGTAAACTCTCTGCAGGAGGCTAAAATTAGGAAAGCCAAGTACAGCTCAACAGCATGTTAGGGTAGTTAGAATCCATTTAACACATATAACAAGCAGTTATAGGCTTTTACGCGGACAGATATTTTTTCATCTTTAAAGAATGATTGGGTTTCCAGATAATAAATGTTTTATTTCATCTCATTAAATATGTTACTGTTTACATTCCCCACTGTGGTAATACTTTACATTGAGGATTTTACGCATTCTTAATTTACTAATTGCTACTAATTTTGACCATTTTTATGCTTTAGCTGCTGCAGAGATTACCTGAACAATTTTAATCACTTGCACAGAAAATTGTGCGTAAAGGCATGAAAGAAAAATATTTTCAAGAGCTGCAGAGCAAAGAACTGATGTTTTAAAAACAGTTAAGTTAGTAAAATGACCACTTTCAGATGATTCCAGCATGTTCATTACATGAATTGGGTTTTTTAAAATTGTATTTGTAATATGGTAGCACCTAAAGAAATAAAAGGAGATACTGAAATACGTTATTTTTAGTTGTACATAAAAAACCCTGTAATTAATTTTGGAATATTACTGGAGTTGAAGGATCCATTTTAACTGTCACAGTGACAATAGTTCGCATGTTAAGTCTTACATGTGCTCCACTGAAATGGCTTTTTATTTATTAATAAGGCATCTTTCTAGAGAAGTTTGGAAGAGGACAATGGTTTGTGTTTTAATACAATTTTGACTATAAAATTATAGATAATGGGTCAAACTTTGCTCTCAGCCACACAGGTGACTAAATCTGGAGCCACTCCATTCATTTCAATGCAGTGACTATAGATTTACACGGATGTAAACCGAGAGTAAGTTTGGCTCAGTATCTTTACACAGTATAGTTACATATTGGAAATGAGAATTTTCCCCATATATAGAGTTAGGTATATGTTCATTTAAAAATCACAGACAAAGGAACTATACAGGTGGCTCCCTCATTAAATGCACCAACATCATACCATACCAACTTGCTAGGATATGCGAGTTTTTGAAAACAAAATGTTTATAAAACAAGTACAGCAATTTCTATTTGTTACAAACACAAGACTGCAAAAACAGTGGAACTTTTGTCTGATTAATATTTTGTAGTGTCTTTCAGACAGCATCAAATTTAAATAAAAAGTTCCATTATCATTTTTCCAATATGTTCATTTACACAATTTTTTCCAACTTCTGATATATTGCATGTTGTTTAAGAGATTTGAAAAGTGGGGGGGGGGGGGGCGAAATCAAAAGAAATTCTGTAAACTTTTGTGAACGTTTTCAACCAGAGATGTCACAACACAGTAAAGCTAAACTAATATCTATTTCTGGATTTGCATGATTAAAGCGTAAGAGAAGTGGATCGGATTTCAAAAGATTTGCTGTGACAAATGTAATTATTCTTAAAATATACCCATGCTATAAACCTTACTTAAAGTACTTTGAAGCATTTATAATTCAGGTTAAAACAAAAACTTTACATTTTTTGTTTTACTAGGACAAAAGATACATTTCATTAGCCAGTCCATGTGCTGGCTACAGAGAACATACTAGCCGCAGTATAGAAAAGTGCATTTATTAGAGATGCATTAATATAGCCTTATTTATGACAGAAGATAATGTCAGCATCAGAACTCCATATGATAAAGCCTCCATTTCTTTTTAAAAATGCAGGCTGCTTTACCCAAAGATAAAATCTATTCATTTTTACTAATCATCCCATCAACCAATCGCCATTATCTCCAGCTATCTAGCTATAAACATAATGTAGACTGGAGTGAAAGAGCGTGAGGTTGAGAGACAGATTACTACACGCAGCTTTTTATAAAGCATTTTCTTTCATAAAACAGGTCTTTTCATCATAAGGACACAGAACCTTTAAAGTTGGTCATAATACTTCAATACAGTAGATGACTGTGGCTTAAAATCTTGTTCAGAACCTGCTCCAGAAAGAAAACAAACTCACTCATTTGATACACAAATTGTTTTCAATTCATTAAAAAGCAAAATTGCATATCCCAGTGCTGGCAGCTGAGTCCGTATGGATGGAAGGGGTATTCACTCATCTCTTTGTATGCTGGCAGTACCCAAACCGAAGTTTAGCACTATGCAGCAGAGATTGTTGTGCAGCCAGAAGATGCATGAGGTAATTTTAAAAGCTTTATTTGCCTTTAGAACATTAAAATCTGCTTTGTAGCTTACTTTTGATTAAACAATTGTAGCAACTCTGAGGAGGTTTTGGAGTAAAAATAACTAATACATCTGTACTTTTGATTATACTAGACATTATAGACTCAGATGGTATACTAAAACTGTTATTCTCCCATCAATAATTGAAATCTCATCTTAAAATTATTTGTAACTAACACATCTATTGTACAAGTTCTTGAATTATTCATTTCAGTTAAAATAAAGTCTCTTTCATGTAGCCCAACTTCTTTTTAAACAGACTGTTTTATGGGGTTCTTTGGGTTTTTTTTCTTGTTTGTTCATTTAGAAAATAAATGGTGTGACCTGTTCACATTTAAGAAGAATTTTCTGCAATGTTTAATCTAAACAACAGCATGTGTGGTTGTAAAACTGTTTATTTTTAGTCAAGTGCATTACTAAATGTTTCGAGCATTTTTACATATTATATTCACAGCAGTAAAACATCTGTGAAATAATTGTGAATGAAAAGCAACTTTCCAGGAATACTTTCCAAAGGGAGATAATAGTTGTCTAACTGAATTTGAAGATACTTATGAAAAAATAAACACTGACACCCTGTCATAAAAGAAGGTGATAAACAATAAAACAGGAACACTAATAAAATAGACAAGTGAATTAGAATAAGCTTAAATTACAGTGTGACATCAAGTGCCTAGTTAAAATATGCCGTTTACAACTTTGCTTCGAAAATGATAGCTGAGAATCAATAGGGTTATTTACTGGAGTTTTACAAGCTTAAAAAAAAAGTCAAATGAATAGTCAACAGTTACTGAACATGCAAACATTCCATTCTTTCCTCCCCTTTCCCTCCCATTTTCTCTGGCAGAAAGTCTAATTGGAAAATCAGTAGTATAAGTAAAGTGGTTATTCTTCCACTATTATAATTAACCAAAAGCTTCATGTAACGTTTCACGGCAAGCACTGGTAAACCTCTAATGGATGGCTAAGAAATTAAACGTTAAAACAAAACACTAAAAACACAAAAACAAAACAACCCCCACAAAAGCCTGAACACCTTTAAACACAAGCCACATGATACACACAATGGCCACCACCAAGGAGCAGAATAAAAACCTTCCGTATCTCACTTTTAAAAGTCTTTCAAGTCCTCAGAGGTCTTAAACTTTCCAAATGATATCAAAAGTGGTACAGGGAGATGAGGGGGAGGGAAACCCCCCTACTTGTTTCAGCGTATCATACAATGAAACTGATCATGCCTTGTTTTGTAATTCCACTCGCCAGTCCTTTTTTAACTGATATCTATGTGAAATGAGCTGAGGTTCACGGTCCAGTTAGGAACGGATAATACATTCATTGTCCTGGCAGCGAACTTCTTCTCTCACTGGAAGAATTCACGCTTGCCTCAAGAATAATAATTACAGAAAACTAAAAATGCACTGCTAACGAATTAATCCCTAACGGACAACACGCTAACGAGGGCAGTAATGATTTGAGGACTCTCTTCATCACAACAGGACTTGCATCTTCTGCTACAATGGGCTATTGTGCATCCTCCTAACTCACTATACCTCTTATAGATTCAAGATGTCAAAGGTTGTCTGGCCCGACTGACCATGACATGCTAGTTAACTCGTTCTGCGGAGCTCACTGGAACTTTATTAAAACTTTAATTGTGCCCAAACGCAGCTCGAGCCAGATTATGTGGGATCTATAACACATAGCTCGGGATCATAACAGAATGGTAACCTGTTCTAACGTAAACAAATGGAGGGAAAAGTTAGATTGGGGTCTCAGATGAAAGTCAACGCTTTGCAAAACACACTTCTCTCACACGTGATGATTTTACACTGTGTCATAAATGTACCATCCCAGAGTTTTACTGTAATCAGGTTGTTCTGTAATGTATTGAACTTCCCCCCTCCCCTCTACAGAAAATATTGCATGGCAAAAATACACATACACATACATGCCATATTTGAAAAGCAGCAGATAAAAGTAAAACAAAGCTGAGAGCCTGAGGGAGCTGCCTGAGACAAGTTACTCTGCACCAGGCTTTTTCAAACTACTTCTCCGTGTACTTTTTAAAAGAGAATTGAATAAGCTTCCCTGTGGAAACTGTAGTTCACATTAACGGTCTCTTGTTACAGAGAGGAAAGCATACAAGTGGGACAAGAGTGAGGCTGCTCCATGGAAGAGTGTGAAAAAAATCAAATGTTAATTTGATAAATGTGAGGTCTGGGACATTTTGTCAAAGAGGGAGGGAAAGCAGAAAAGGGAGGAAAAAAAAAAAAGCAGCCCTGCTGCCAACTCACCATCCACCAAGTTCTGGCCGAGATGTCGTAGCAGAGCTGCCATTTGATGGAGCCGTCGGAGGTTTTCCCTGCCATTATGCTGTCAGCAAGCTTCATCTGATGCTAACTCACGGGAGATAAGACACCTAATTGAGAAAACATTTGCACTGGCATGTTGGGCAACATGTAGCCCGGTCCATACCATATGGAATCATGGGTAAAAAAAAAAATCTCCTTGACAATGAACCAATCTCTCACAGACCCAGTGGCAAGGTGAAGTAGAGATGAAAAGTCATCTGCTCCTAGCACTGTCCTCTCCCTTCTCTCCCCCCCTCTTTTTTTTAAAAAATAAGAACCCACTGCTCAACATCAAAGAGAGGCGGTCAGAATTAGGGTTTCATCACTCATAATTTTGGTCTACAAGGTTTTTCCTCCCCCCCCTCTTCTTTTTAAGAAGAATAAAGAGATTTAATAGGACAAAGGCAGGTAGTGGACTGCGGAGGGAGATCGCCACAGGCTATTAGCCTAAAATTTCTGCTTGACAGATGGAACTGCTTAGAGACTATCATGCAATGTTTGGGCTTTTTTTTTTTTTTTTTTTAAAAGAGTTTCAGTCTCATTCAGTATCTGTTTATCGCAGCTACTTTTCCCATGAACATGACCGGGAGGGGTAAGTGAGGGAACAACCTACTGAATGTTTTCAATTTCTTTTTTCTTGCTGATTTTTTTAATAGTTATGGACATAATCATTTTAGTAACAAAAAGCAAAACAAATGTATAGACTGCCTAAGTGTATTCCCCCCCCAGTGATTGATAGAGCTTTCCAAAGGAATCAAATACGCTCTTTCATTTTTTTTTAAAAAAGGGAAAGATTTGGCTCCATCCTTATTTTCAGATACTAGAGAATGTTGTTTAAATGAATGACTTTCCATATGTAGATCAGATGGCTAAAGGACTACCCAAGAGCTAATCAAACAATTCTTTTTTCAATACAGTTTTTCCACCTTTTCATTCTTTAAACTTGTTTTTCATGTAACATTTTATAATATCGTTTGGTAACAACCATAGCAGTCATGTATGTTTGTTTTTCTCCACTGCAAAACTTCTCTGTGCATCAGTGTTCTCATTAACACACAACTTTTACTCGAGGAAACAATACCCTAACATGGAAAGAGGACATCACAAAAAAACAGTTTTGAAAAGTTATGAAATGCTGACATTAAACAATATCCTCCTTTCTTGGAAAATAAAATAAAAGATAATCATAGAATTGAAATATGGAGGAGGTAAATTATCTCAGTGCATTATGAAACCAGGAAGTAATTTTTCACTTTTATTACGATAGAATATTAAATAGGCACTGAATGGTTTACATTTAAATCAGACCATTTTATAATATCAGGAGACAGATGTACAATACATAACCACCATTATAAAATAATAGGGCACTGCAATCTATACAGTAGTTTTTTCCCTCATGTGCTCCAAGAGTGAATTTGTAAACTTGCAGCCGATTGCCAGTGCTATTTCGAACCTCTATTAAACTATGACTGATAAAGTCATTCAAAGACAGCTGTACAAGTCTTTTCACTATTTAGACACAAGGGGAAAATGTATTAAGAATCTCCACTCTAGATTAAACAATATCCATTTAGTTTAGATCAAAAGCAAAGAGTTTGCGGGCACATAATTTTTCAGATTGTTCTGCATGCTAATGATGGTTTAACTATTTGGCTACAGCAAAATACCCTTCCAGATTATATAGTTTACAAAATAGTTATTCACTATGGTATAGAATTTCCTTCATTCAGTTTGAACTATACCTTGAGATTTTTGTGATTTGAGAGATGACAAACGTTTAAGGTAACCCTGAACTGCTCTATTACAACAACAAGAACTGTTCTTTATTTTCCCTCTTCCTGATGCCAACCGTAACAATATGTTTGGACAGAATTAAAATATATATAAACATATTGTCTGTACAGCATCCCAGTGTGCTTCACCAGTCCAGATTGCAGGTACAGTATCAACTCTATTTACAGGAAAAGGTCTGACTAGTATGGGAAGTGTTAAGTTGTAGTCAGAGTCCAGGAAGAAAACGGACACTCTGCCAGGAACTGTCCCTGCACTGGCCAGCCAAAACATTTACTGTGTTGTGTTACTTCAGCTTAGTTAATGCTACTCCTCATTGCTTAGTGGAAACATTCTCTCAAAATAATCATGCAAAATATAAAATAAAATGATTAAGCAACTGTCAACCTTTGAACCAATGTCAGATTCAATTTCATTCTGCCTTCTCTTCTACATCTCTCAAATCAAACATCCTACTCACCCTTCTTATTATTAATTTATTATTACAAAGCCAGACTTGCTTTGTGTCTTTCCATTAAAAAATTCTGACAAAACTTATATTCCTGCCTATGTCATTTTACGTGTCCTGATGTGGTTATAGATCAGCTGACAATGTTTGCCTATATTCCTATAATAACCACTGCTTAGGTCTTCCTAAGCCTAAAAGAGACTTTTCTTTACAATATTAAATAGAAAGACATCAAATAAACAGTCATTTAAAAAAAGGATACAGATTTCAGTTTATGAATGACAGAAGCATGAAATCATTTTCTTCCAAACGGTACAGTAGTTTTGAAAGACATGATAATTGTTGTGGGATAGTAGTGTTTTAAATCCCAAACAATTAAGTGCAGTTAACTTCACTTTTTTTTTTAATGAGGATGGCAGTGGTGGATCTATTAGCCTAGAGCAATTACTCCTATCATAAGTGGGCTGTTAATATTAAAACAAGATTAAATACATGTTAAATATTGCAATTATTGTGGAAAATAAAATTATTTGGTGAGCATAATGGGGAGCAAATCAAGCATTTAACATGATCCAGGAAATGTTACTCCAAACAATTACATTTGTTTTATGCAATTTTTCCCTTTGATTGCTGGCAGATGCCGTTTTGGAAACCAACATCTAAATAGTTTTCCTTCAATCAGAAAAAAAGCCACACAGAAGAAAATGGCTACATGTTTTGAATTTAACTCTTGTCAATAGCATTCTGCACAACACTGCATGTGAATGGTATAAGGACAAAATGATGCCTTCAGAACAACAATAAACCACAAAGAGGTTTGCTACTAACCTAGACTTGTTCTGCAGGGAGAAAAACTAAGTGCTATACATACATTTGTAGGGACACAGTGGCAAAATAAAGGTACTGGTGATTCATGACTGATATTTCGTGTTGGAAATTGACTAGATGTTTGTATCTGTGGCTACAGAACTACTGTTTTGTTTTCTAACAGCTTTAGGCCTCAAGCAATGGATTGAGGTACTTGCCAACCACTTTCTGGCTTCCTACTGGAGATGTAGCCAACTATCCAAAGATAATTTGCTTAATTGTTGAGCAGAGGTACAGCAAAAACAGCATGAGTATTTCCTGTGTATCTACCCTCTCCAGTGCATTCTGATGAGGTCCTTGCTACTATCAAGAGCACAACACCAGGAAAGAATGCTAAAACAGGCTAACAAAGTACATTGATTCAGATGAATATCTCAAGCTGGTATATATCCTATTGGAAATTGACTGCATGAGAACATTATACATTTTGCTTCATTGGGCAGTTTCTCCCAGCATTGGTTTCTAATATCCACACTGGTAAAAGCAGCTAGGTAGTATCATTCCAGATGCATGCAGCTCCCAGTAATAGATACTTACTTCAATGTATATACTAGATTATCTACTTATTTTATATGGTCTCTATTGCCCATTAACCCTTTATCTATTTTCTCATACCCCTTTAGCTGCAATTAGTTGGAAGCTTTAATTCTAAACAGAGTGCAACAGCATAATTTTACAATTAGTTGATTTTTGGACAAGCCCTGAACTCATGCAAAGTCGCTGACATCAAGTGTATGTTCTAGCTTTTGGAAATCCTACGATCCTGGCTTCAGTCAACAGGCTCTGCTGTAGCTAAAGGCATAAACATGGAGTGATGCAGCATGGGGCCAGTGTTTCTGCAACTAAATGGATCCACTGGCCAAAATGAGTGCAACAGTTGAAGATCTTGCCGGAGACTTCGGGATGCTGTAAAGCTGCCTAGGGGCAGCTCATTTGTACCCTCCCGCAGGGATGAGGGAGAGGATTCTTCCCCAGCTACTGACGGGTCTTTTTTTACTCTGTGTGTACAGTACTTGTAATTTTACTCAGTGCATACAACCCGTTAGCTGTAATTCTTCCTCTCCACCATCACTCATTTTCCTGTCACCCAGATTTTCCTCCTGCCAAATCCTCAAGTGGAGTCATAATCCTCTGTTTCTGACACAATCTGTTACTATGGAGACTAGATTGAAGTCAGAGATGCAGCATTATGACTTATGACATCAGTATCAAGTTAGAGGAGAGAGAGAAGAGAGGGAAAATCTTGTTTCAACATTTTAAAACATTAAAAAAAAATATCCCCCCAATGCGTTAAGAAGTGTAAGCAGATTTATTGTTAACGCTGACATAACTGAACATCTTCTGTAATATACCAGGTCTCATTCTAAGGCCCCAATTCAGCAAAGCACTTAAGCACATACATGAAATTAAGAACATGTTATAGGTCCCATTGTAGCACTTGCTTAAGTGCTTTGCTGAATCAGGGCCCAAATCACAGCCAATTAAATTATTGGAAAAGTGCTAATTCCAATGCCTTAGGATCCAGTCCTGCAAACATGTATTATCAGGCATGATATTTTCTACTGTGAGTCGCCTCGCTTAGGTCAGTGGGACTACTTGATGCAGGAGGAAAGACAGAAAATATTAAAAAGTGTAAAAAATTAAGACATTTTCCCCAACATGCAAACAAGTTATATGAGGCTAAAAATACAGTATTTAGGTAATGAAAAGAGAGAATATTCCAAATACTCACACCAGTTTTACTCTCACCTTGCTATGGATTTTTTCCTCCTAACATGAAATACCATTAAAAAATCTAAAAACCTATATTTTTGTGTTGTAATCCTTTACATATAACTCTTTGGGGAGGAATTACAAGCCCAGTATTTAATTTATCTTGTGAAATATTTATTTTGCTTGTGATGTTAGAGGACATCCAAAAGACTTCTGCTTCTCTTCTGTAACCCTAGCAAAGGATTCAATCCACTGTATAACTCTCATAAGGAGATTCAGAACTTGTATGAAAGGAGCATAAGAAAACTAAAAGGTTAATATATTCTAACTAGATGTTGGGTATAGAATGTCAGATCTGTCAAATTTCATTACAGTTTGCTGCTCAATGAAAAAGATTTGATTTCTTTTGCCACTGTCCTACTATGTTCAAGTCACACAGTGCCAGCAGCAACCAGCCAACGACCACAGGCTGGCACTGAGCAGGCCTGAGTGGGAAGCCAGCCGCAAGGACCATCTGTTTCCGATTTCTAACTAAGCCAAGATGTGCAGTGAAGTGCATTCCATTCACTGAGCCAGCCTTCTCCCTGCTCAAGTTATTAGTGTTACAAGTGAAATTATCTTTTCCAAACAGCAGGGGAGCTATAATCCCTATGGAACAAAACTTTAAAAAAAAAAAAAAGAAGGAAACTAAAGGAAAAAAATACAGTCAGAAATACTTCTTAAAGTTGTAGAAAAAGATTGCTTGTACATTTAATTACAATCTTCATGGAGTTTATTATTTTAAAGCATGTTTTGTTAAGCATGATAACCGCTAAGGCGAGAGTGTATATGTTGGTTCATCTGGTGTAATTGAATAAACTAATCAAATATCTTTAGAATGTTATTTGTGAATAAAGTTAAAAGTGACAAGATGAATGTAAAAGTAAACCTCTTTAAGGTTAAATGCCTTGAAAAGCATCATAGATTTTAAAATATAATTTAAAGTGTGAGTGCCTAAACAAGGCTAATTACATCTAGTTACACTGTTTCAGGATGTAATTTATATTTAACCTCTAAGGAAAAGAAGCGGTCTTGGCATAGTAATTATGTAGATTTAAGAGTATGCTAAAGACATAGCTGTCTGTGGAATAAGCCCTTGTCATAGGATATTGGTCTCCTACTAGTACATAAATGCCAGGTGAAACCAAAGGATTTACTGGAATCAAAAAACATTGGAGGTGAAACTGAGAAGTTTATTTTCAAAGTGGGAAACATTTATCCTTTGACACCATTCCATTCCAGTGATTTTATTTCTAATATACCGTGTGATTAATGATGTGGCTACTGTCATTGTGTCTGATGAACATTGGCAGAGTTGTGGAACAGTTGGTCTCTTTACTATTATTGGACATCTCGGTAAATTGGCATATATAGGATGAACTTGTTTCATGCGTCAGCCAACTGGAAATCACCTCATTCATAAGAGCACAATTTTATTATTCTACTGCACAGTCCATACAATGCAAAGCTGGATTGTGAATGGCTTAAATATTGTCCTAACTTTGACAAGTTAGCAGTCTAACCATTTGAATGACTGGCGCTATTTTCATTAGGTAATAGGTGTATTATGAAAACCAAGTTGGAAGTAATTAAGGAAATAAATGATGGGCATTAATATGTGGATCATTAACATTCCCTTTGCACAGGCAAGTCACTGGCTAGGCCTTTGCTCAAGACACAGTCTCTAACACAGTGTCCTTCCTCAATGTTTTAGTTGGTACAGTTGGGCAATTGCTTGTTGTCACTCTGGGGTGTCACTGGGTGGCTCCCACTGCTCAGCTTGTCACCTCTCTTTTTCAGTGTGTTGGAAAGGCCATTAGGGGGACGGAGAGATCGCTGTGACATCAGTAGGTAGGCCCATGGTACTCATCTCTGTCTCTCCACTGGCCTCATATTTTAGATGTTCACTATTATCTCAATTTCTGGCTGAGGTAAGAGTTGGTCACAAATGGCTGGGAAGGAAGACATAATGACTGTTAGCCAGGGGAAGCATTTGGAGGAGCAGCCCAATGCCTTTCGCCAAAAATAGCTCACAGTCTGTGTCTCCTACCGGACCCATCAATGCCCTTGGATTCTCAAGCAACAGTGCTAGCTCATGATGCCTTTTACCACCTACAGCTGAACAGAAGGCTGCAACTCCTCCTCCCTAATATGAGACTTCTGTAGTGCTCTCTGCTGAGGGCTATTCTTAAAGACCACTCAGTATTTAAGACCGACGTAACAACGAACATCAACTTATTTCAAAGAGCAATGCCCCAAGAGCAGATAAAATATAATCAGAACAACTAGTACAATGAATCATTGTGGATTTACAGTGCCCACAGTGCCATGAGACAAATATGGATGCAGACTGACCAACTTAGTTGCCTACATTCACTTGCAATTCTTGAGCAGAGTAGAAGTAAATCCATTTTTGTTTTGATTTTAGAAACCAATTCTCTAATATTAGCTATTGCTCCTGTTTGCCAGCTCAGTTGTCTGTTAAATGCTTTTCTATTTCTTTTGCTGCATCTCCAAAGGGAATGTTGATCTCATCCTCTTGATGATACCACCTGAATGGCAGTCAATGTGCTGAGCAGCATAGGTATATACTTAGACAAGGATTCACATACCCAAGTGCTTTGAAAAGGATTGAGCTGCATGTAAACTTTGTAAGCAAGTCTGGGATAATCCATTTAAGTGGCTCTGGATTATTGAACATTATACAGCAAGATAATGCATGGCTAACCCCAGGATATATGAACAGAACATATAAACCTCTTGTTTAATCCACACCACTGGAATTAAAGGAAAAACACATCTTTGAAAGTCGGTCTCTGAGCACAGTGTATTCAAAGGGTCCTAGAAGATAGGGCCAAATTTTCTGCTGGCATGACTCCAATGGGGACTACGATGGTCTAAGCTATTTTCACTGCAGAGCACTCTCCCCCTTTTGAAGCAGGTTCACTGTAAATCTCTTTTCAGATTGTCAAAGTTATTAAGCAAAAAATTCCTCTGGAGCTGAAATTTTCCATGCTTAGTCCCAGCCTGGAAATTATTTATATTTTTAGTGGAAAATATCTGCAAGTCTTCACAGGTTTGAGTTGATTTTTAAAAAAAAGTAAAGAAAAAGGAAAAAGTTTCAACTTGCCAAGTTTATAAATTATTTTATAACTTTAGAACTACTAAAATCAATTTTCTTCAAACTTGGCTGAAACTAAAAATCAAATCAAGATGTAAACTTGATGTACTATAACTTACTATACCGCATGGAAGGTTGTTCAAGATCTTCCAGTTTGCAGATATTAGATCTTGTATTAATTGATCATTTATAGTAATAACACAAGACACCATGCATTAGAACATAAGATCAAGGAGACAGAGTTACAGTTAGGCTTTCCACCACAAGTCTGTGTTTCCTGAATTCTGAGAACACTCGCCTTTGCATGGAATAATGAACAGTGTTATAATTGGAACACAGAGATGTTTAAAAGCTTAGATCTTCTTTAGTCAAAAGACCATGAACAGATTCAGAAAAACGAGTGAAGAGAGATATACATTACATGTCCTGGTGCTAAGTAAGCCTCTTTCCAGTGGAGGAATCCACCATGAGAGAGGTTAGATGGTTTTTCCATCCCCATTCTCCCATGGGGTTTTTGCTGAGATGGGTTGTACCCATAACTCCAACTGGGACGTCTCCGGAGCTCTCCCAATGGGTGCTGCTGAAAGGAGGTGCTAAACCAGTGCAGTCTCCAGACACCTTGTTTAGAACCCCATCCTGGCCAATGCTGCCCACTTTTTAAGCTGGCCTGACATCTAAGGCTATGACTACACAGCAAAGAAAAGCCCATGGCTGGCCCATGCCAGCCAACTTGAGCTTGTTGGGCTCAGATGGTGGCTGTTGTACTGCTGGGTAGAATTCCATGCTTGGGCTAGAGCCCAGGCTCTGGAGGATCTGAAAGCTCGAGCTGCAGCCCGAGCCCAGAAGTCTGACCAGCAATGAAACAGTGCTGCAGCCCAAGCCCTGTGAGCCCAAGTTGGCTGGCACAGGCCAGCCATGGGTTTTAATTTGCTGTGTAGACATACTGTGACAGGCCCTTTGGTGCAAGGGTGGTTGTGGCCACTTTACCCCACTGAAATTTTGTCCCTCAATATATTTTCTCCAAGGCTCTGTGCCAGCAGAAGACAGGGTAAATCCTGGAGTGAATTTAGTCCTTTGTTTTATCTTTCTAGACACACAGTATGGAGTATCTGTAAAGTGAACTCGCTTCTGTGGCTGAAATTGGATGTCCTCTGTGCTGAACAGGTCCTGAAACCATTTCTGATTGGCTTTGAAGCCTGTGCTGTAGACATGGCTGGAATGTATATCTAGATTAACAGCGGCTGCTTTGACGCTTCAAGCAAAAACATAAGCAGAGTCATTGTAGTCAACAATGCTCCTGAGAAAGTGTTTTAAAGTACAAAGTAAAGTAGTACTGGATTTATGTGTTGACCATAACCCTTATTTAAATGTCAATACATGGATTGGGTAAATTTCTCTTGTTAGCTGGAAACCTCAGAATGAAACAGAAATATTCTGGTAAACCACAAGCTTGTTCTTAGACTATACAGGGTTACATTTCCACTCCTGTGGCATGTACAGACTATTTCCTCACTCGGTCTCTGAATAGTCTAAGCAAAGATGAATGCTATAAATAGGGGTTTGCGGTGTTGTAGTTGTGTTGGTCCTAGGATATTAGAGAGACAAGGTGAGCGAGGTAATATCTTTTATTAGTCTAACTTCTCTTGGTGACAGAGACACACTTTCAAGTGGCACAGAGCTGCTAATGTGTGGCTCTCAAGGTTCTATGCTGTGGCCTTTGAAGGTGATTGTACTGAGAAGAGATGGGGCCTGGCATTATAAATTTAAAGTGTGGTCCCTGAGTTGCACCCAGCAACTTTTAAAACTGAAGTGTCTGAATTGGCTCCCTTCACTATAGGGAGCAGGCTGGGGGCTTGCCCACTGGGCTGCAGAAGCCCCCGGGTCAGCTGGACAGATGCTGGACTGGCTCTGACTGAGCCTGGGACAGTGCCTT